CAAGGAGGGCAACAGTGCTAGACAAGGACAGACATATATGCGTGCTAGACAAGGAGAGCAATAGCGTGAGACAAGGACAGATATATATGCGTGGTAAACAAGGAAAGCAACAGCGTGCGACAAGGACACCAATATAAATATCCCTTTCTACATACACGTGCAGATTTATATCTAAAATTTCTCAAGGCCTAGTTTGCTTATACCAGGATAGTGAGCACATGGCTAACAGGTTAACTGATATTCATATGGAAATAACCATCAAATCTCATTCTCTGGAAATTCGACCCATCATTTCTAAATCCAAATGCATAATACTCTGTAACGTGTGCCCTATAATTTCTCACTGTGTCATTCTTGAAGAGCATGCTATGCAATATATTAGGCCCTTTTAGATCTCCTTTATTAGAACGGGTCTAAATGATTCAGGATACACACACATCTTGAGCCTTTATCGTCAGATGTGTATCCAATCTGAAAACATTCCAAATGTACCTGAATCCATCCAAATAAATTGTGAGAATACATCTTACTAGATATATTTATCAGCAGAAAATGTAGCTTTCTTATGCAAGGAAAAGGATCATGTGGCTAAATTGTGCATAAACTTGGACTCCCAGCACTTGATTTTACACAATTCTAGCTTCTATTGCAACGAAATAATTACTAATCCAGTTATCTAAGCTGAACAGCCAAAACTTCTCCTCCATTCCAAATTTCTGCTACATCGTTACCTCAGATACATAAACTACAAGCTGAAAACATCATAAACCGTCCTATTGTCACTCCCAAGATGGATCAAGAGACAGTTTACTAACTTCAGTTCTTTTAAGAACTTTTTAAATACTGTCAAAGATGATAGCAGACGTAATGCAGTTGTTTCTACCAAAGAAATCAAGAAACGCAGAATAGTTAACAAAACAGAGACTTGCCTAAAAGAAATCTTGCTACTGCTGCCTGTCAAGGATAACATCTCGAATCCTACTCAAAATTAGGATTTTAATTCCCATTACTATTGGCGCTGTGGTGCAAAACCTATTTAAATCGATATGGTAGAATGTGACACAAAAATGGTATGATTGTCATATAATTCCAAAAACATGGGCATAGACGAGATATATTCATTAATCGTTGTTTTAAATCATTATATTCCTTCATTGATGAAGTACCATCACGTTCAATTCAATAAATAATTCTCGAAATGGATCTGGCAACACTGTTCATATTTTTTAATTTTAATTTTCACCACTAGTAGTGCTGCGATGCAAAATCTGCCTGAATCGGTACGACAGGATGTGACATAAAAATGGTAATGGTACGATGACCTCAAAATCGTGGAAAGAATACATTATTTGGAATGTCTATTCATGTACTTCGTCAGCGATTGGATGTTCGACCATCCATATCATAATTAGTCAGTGATAATACAAATGTCCAGGTAATCAATTCTCGAACTTATAATCGTACGAAATCGTATTTTTTGAGATTGTCGTTTCAAAAATTTGCGAAGTTCCTGAGCAATTCTTTAGAAGTTAAAGGATTGAGATAGTTCATAGGATCGCTGATTAAAATTTACAAAATTAAAGCGCGGTCGCTTCTTTCCAGTTTATTATACGTTTTCGTGTTTCAACCTCCCGAATTTGCGAAAAATCGTTCTCGTATACGCAAGCGCTACTTCTGACGATAAATAACGTAATCAAGGGTTAATTAACATTGTCGAAGAAACAAATAGATTTCTGTCACATTCTTGTTCGAAATATATTCGTATCGTGTCACGTAGTTAAA